TTGACTTCAGCTTATCTATGCCAGGCTGTGAATGAAAGTGGTTTAGCAGATGCTGTATGCTCTATCCAGCCATCCCTGCTGCCCCCGCAGCAGTCCCCGAGACAGAGGCAGAACAGAGAGAGGTGGGAGCTGTGACCACCTCGGTATCACCCGGTGCACCGCAGGTCTCCTAAAGAAGCCCATTTGGCTTTGATGAGCCCATTGAATTCCCTGGTCTCCTGAGCTGATGTTTTTTAATCAGATGATTGTATCTTGCCCAGGCAAAGGGGAGAATCATTCATTTGAGTCTTCTCTGCCAAGACAGCATTATCCATTCATCTCTGGAAATGTCACTGTATGAAGGCAAGGCTTATTTTATCCCACACACGAATGGGGTGTAGGCAAAAGCAGGTGCCCTAAGTATCACTTACACCCTCTCCACTGGTGTGTATAAGTGTCTAGGATGATCCCACATCCACAGTCCCTCCCACTACAGCTCTTATCAGGCAAGATATCATAGAGTTGCCATCCGAGCAGAAGAGGTGTAACACAGTTTGTCAAAAAAACACTTACCAAAAACGTTCTTCACGTTCTGCTCGCTTACCAGATAATCCACATATTGACGAATCACTGAAAGGTTAATTTGTCTGAAATGAAAGGAACCGCAGCAACCTTAGAAGCCTCAGCAACCACAAGTCTCCACTCACAGATATCTTAAACTTAGAGATTAAGAAAACAAGAAAAGACATGTATTTTTGAAGCCTTGCATTTGTACACATACGAATTACCCCAAGGTATGATACCCTCAGCATGTGTTTAACATTTCAGGTAACAGTTCAGTTCTGAATTCTTTCTTCCAGTTTCCTTTCCTCCTGACAAGTAGTTCACTGTTCCAACCTTTTATCTCAATTGGTAATTACTGCAGGCTCGTCACAGCAAAGGGCTTTTTTGCGGAGATATGAGAGAACAAGAGGCAGTCAAACCTTTTTGACTGTTGAGGGAAACAGGAGTTCTCTTGAGAGCACAAAGGTATTTGTGCAAGTGCTGGCAAATAGTTAAACTATACTTGTAACTGCTGGACACAGACCGTAAAATGGCATCTGCTGGATGTGACTTTGACCTCTCTCTCTCATTAAAGGATGAGGAAAGCAACAGACTTCCCTGACAAACAGGGGAAATTGAATTCTAGGTTTATCTTCTCTGCAGGACAGACTTATTTTGTTTATCAGTGTATAATATTTCACCATTGTTTTCATTTGTCAAACATACAGACCAACCCTATAGTCTGGGAGTCAATTCTGGGACCTTGACTGGGTTCACACATCACCCAAAATTTCCTAGCTGCTTTCACAGAACATATCTTCTTACAAGGGCCAGGCATTCCAGGCAGTGCGCCCAGATCACTCTCCAAATACCACGTTGCAATAAATTTGAGTAGTAATAAAAAATGAAAAATCGGAAGTTTCCTTTGAAGCAAAAAACAAAGCAGTGACTGCAATGCAAATGAGCTCCCTGATTGAGACAGTACCATGCTTTACAGCACTTTTCAAAAGTAAAGGCTCACTTTCAGAGGACCGTACTAGCAAATCTCCACTGTCTCCCTCAGAAACATATACAGATCTTGACACATCCCCCATCAGAGAAGCTCAGGGTCTTTTGCTGACTCCGAACAACTCTGTCTTGCAACATCAAGATGCAGTAGGGAGGATATCTGTTTACCATCACTGCTTTGAGGAAGGCTGAATTTCAACTTTCAATTTGATGTTATTTTTAGAACTGTGCAGTCCTTGCAATATTTTCTTCTTGTTTAGACTAATTCCATGCATACATATATACATGTGAATGTGTGCATGAGTTAACTAGGGTACAGAAAAGTCTAAAAGGACATCAGATTTTGACAATTATTTTCTAGCTCTCAAGCTCTTTTTAACTAGGACTGTGATTTGCCTTAACAAACATGAAAATACTGCAATACTCTATGCGTATAACCTTACTACGATTTAATTTACACCTACAAAAGCAGTAGAAAAAGAGATGTGAGACTGATCCAGACTCTCCAAACCCAGACCTGCAGCACTTGCTGGGCAACAGGAGAATGCGGAGGCTAAGGGAACCCACTCTAGTGCTAGCGGGAACAACCTAGTAGTTTCTCCATCCCATCAGAGATCCGATTTAAAAACAAAAGCAAAACTGAGCAGCTCCAAATAAGAAAGAAGAGAGACAGGGTTTTAAGGTAACAGTAAGCAGTACAATTCTTACAACATGCCATGTTGTGATACAGGATTATACTCACCCATCAGGAGTCATTGGAGTGATTGTAGCAGCTACAAGACCCTGTAACTTCTTTCCAGGTGTCATTGAGCTGTTTGGAAGAGACAAACATGATTCCCATCTTTATTTAAGCGTAGTTTCAACTAACTTCTGTTAACAAGAAAGCTCAACAGGCAAAGTTCAGAAGAAGTGGACTTTGCAAGGGTGTTATTTTTGGTTAGAGAGAATTGACTTCTTGTTGAAAGAGCG